TGAACCCCTTGGGTTGGATGGGGTTGATGTGGGGCCCCTTGCCACCTCTCGACGTCTCAGCTCGTTTTCCTGCATTGAAAACCCTAAACCCTAAACCCTAAACCCTAAACCCTAAACCCTAGAGAGAAGAGAGTAGAGTTTATGTAGGTAGAGAGGTGCAGAAGGAAGAAGGGAAGATGATGGTGGTGGTGACTATGATATAAAGGCAGCAAATGCTTGGGGTTGTGCTGCAGCAGGAACAGCAGCAGAAGCAGCAGCAGCAGCAGCAGCAGCAGCAGCAGCAGCAAGAGGGGGGTGTATGCTTACGTTCTGCATTCGCTGTGCTGTATACAGCCGGGGGGGGAAGAAAGGGGGTGTATATACACCTGAAGTAATTAATTTAATTTATATTTAAAAAAAAAAGAAAAAAAAAGAAGAAATACTACAAATTTGTTGTTTTGGGGTGTATGTACACCTCAGCACGGATTGAGCCAATAAGGAGAGCGTTTCGGGCTGCTGCTACACGTGTGGTGTTTTTTTTATTTATTTTATTTATTAAATAATTAAAATTAATGTTTTTTATTTTATTTTTTTCTTTTTTTATCGATAAACAAAGAGAAAAAGGAGCCTTCTGCTGCACGGCATAGGACGGGGGCAGCAGGGAGGGTACGAACACGAGCTGCCTATACACCCCAAATATAAACCAGAAAATAATAAACACACACCAAAATTAAATTAAAATACAAAAAAAGAAATAAATCAATACCAATATCTGCTATCTTTACCTTCTAGGGTTTACAGTTTAGGGTTTAGGGTTTAGGGTTTAGGGTTTAGGGTTTAGGGTTTGGGTACCGCTGCTGGGGCCCCCCCCCCCCTCTCTCCCTCTCCCTCGTCTCTGTAGCTTTCTTATGTGTTTTATCAATCCTTTTTTTATATTTACTTTTTAATATTTAGGGTTTAGGGTTTAGGGTTTAGGGTTTATTTATAAAAAAATAAAATAAACAAATCATACAACCAACCATGCATCCCTCTCTTCGTTCTATACATAGGGGGGCCCCCATATCTTTCTTTCTCTCTTCTCCTTTACCTTCTTTGGGGGCCCCCACCCTTTCTCTTCTATCGGGGGGCCCCCCTGGGGGCCCCTCTGCTTTGAAGGGGGCCCCCCTGGGGGCCCCCCGAGCATTCACCACGGGGGGGCCCCCGGGGGGCCCCCCGGGGGGCCCCCCAGGGGGCCCCCAGGGGGGCCCCCATGAACCCCTCACAACTTTTGGGTACAAAACAGTAACAAAAGAAGAAAAGAAAAGACTTGTCAATGAAGTGTTTACTTCTGTTGCAGGTGAGGGTTTAGATATTTGTTTATTTATTTATATATAAATAAATAAATAAATAAATAAATAAATAAATAAATAAATATAAATAAATAAATAAATATATGAATAAATAAATAAATAGATAAATA